AACATGGTCTGAAACATACAAATATTTGATTCAACCTATTTGTTTCTATTGTACATCTTTACATTAACTATTATGATTTAATTTAACCTATTCCTTTTTACCCCTGCAGGTTTCCCTGCATTGTTCAACAAACAATGCAGGTAATGTCTCCACCTACATTATTGTTTTTACTACTATCTAAATTCAACAGATATTAACAATTTTCAGTAACCAAATTGCAGGGCAAAATAACTCCATTATCAGAGCTCCGTCCCATAAACACTCTGTACAATATTCATGTCAGGGTGTCAAGGACTTGGGAATATAGGGGCAAAAGTGGAAAAAAAATTCCTCTGATCCATTTTGACATGGTGGTCATCGATCAAAAGGTAAAATTTTTCCTGAAAAACTATTGTTTCCCTATGTACTTATCTTTAAATATTAAAAATTACAGGGTTATGCGATGTACTGCGAGGTACCTCCAGAAGTGCTGCCACAGATGAAACAATATTTAGAAGAAGGAAAGGTTCTCTACATATGGAAAACATGTGTTGAAAGGGCTAAGCCTGGGTACAGAGTTGTAGATGCCCCTTACATGTTAAAACTGATCATGAGAATAGAAATCTTTGAAGGAAATAGCAACGACACAAGTTTCCCAAAGTATGTATTTTCATTGACCCCAATCGAAATACCACCACAATATGCAAGAAGGACAGATCATTTCCTAGGTAACAAAAGTATCAATTTACACATTATTTCTTGCCTTCCATTTGATCTACACATGTTCATCAAATATACTAGCAATCTTCGTCATCTGTTCAAGTATCATGACTTACAGTACTTTCCTAATGTAGATGCCATCTCAAATGCAGTTGTAGCGTGTAACACATCTGGAGACCTTATGATGCGTAGGCTAATAACACTTCAAGATCATAAGTACTGTTTCAAATTTAAAAATATAGATTTGCCAACTCACATACTAATTTTGACATAAAGTCTGAATGCTAGATTTCTTTTAACTACTCACAGGGGAAACACAATTGATTTGTCACTCTCAGGACAAAGGGCTCTTGAATTCGATGCTGAGGCGGTTTTCGATATTGGTCAAAATCATCATGTCATAGCAATTTTTGAGGGCACACTCATGAAAATATATCGAGAAGACTACAAATTTCTCAGTGGAACTTCAGCATGTCGGTGGTACATTAATGAAAATGATATACAAGCAATGAAAACCTTTCAAAGAGGGTATTATTTCAATTCTGAATATAAATACAAACACCTATATCTTATCCCTATACTCATGTTTCGTTAATTATTATAACTTCCCAACAGATTGCCATCTCAGGTGACACCAGTTCAAAAACTGCAACTCCAAAGCGAAGACTACATGGAGCAAGGTGTTGAAGAAAAAACTCTGTTTGACCTCAAACAGATAGATCCTTTGAATGACAAGGTCAAAACACAACTCCTTGTTATATTATATAAAAATAACAATTGCTTAAGTCTCTGTACATTGCCCATCACTCATTATATCATTGTCTGTTAACTATACATATTCAGAACAAAAGATTTCAGTGTACGATCACACTGATATCTTTAGCAGAAAAAGAGCAATGGTGCTACAGAGCTTGCAGAGTTTGCAACTCCACAATAATAGTAGGCAATGATGGATATGAGTGCACAAAAGGTGCCTGTTCGGGAGGCCGTATCGTATCGTGGATTATTTACTGCTGGCTGGTTTGGTGTGAGAGAAAAACACTGTTCCCGGCTGGAAATTTACGATCGTTTACGAGCAAGCGAACAGGCTATGATTGGAAGTAAGAAAACTCCTCCATAACCAAACCTGTAACATACATTCAGTAATTGATCTTTAAAAGGTTTTTTAACTGTATCTTCTGTATGCTTCAGGTACAAAGTTTGTTTCATTGCAGCAGATGACACTTACAGCCTTCAGTTCATGTTTTTCGAGAAAAAAGGGGTAGAACTCATTGGAAAAAGTGTAGAGACCCTAAGGAAAAAGTATGATCCAAGCTCTATTCCACCTGAGATAGCACAATGGATTGGCCATAAATTCACTTTCATAGTGAAAGTGCTATTCAAAAGAACTCTCAAATGCATTGAGCCTTCTTTTGAGGTTGTGATGATCAAAGAAAGACATGGAAAACAAGCAACATTACCAAACATCATACACAATGTTTCAAATGATGATCTGCCACCACAGGTAACAATATCATCAAAGAAAAAGATCGAGCAGGTGTGGCAAACAAAAATTTATTGTTTAGTCCCTCTTATATTACACGTATTTGTGCTAACTATAAACTTGTTGCAGGAATCATTATCATGCACTCCTCAATTCAAAGATATACAAGATATGGACATAGACCAGCAGTGTCAGTAAGTATATTCTTACTGTCTCTTAGACATATCCTATTTTCCTGCTTCTAATAATATTTCAAATAATTACAGTGCTTGGGATACCACAGAGAAACATAATGAATCACAGGTAACCCTTTTTCCATTAACAAAAAATCAATTACAAAAAACTATAGAATATAATATGTAATCTTTTTCGGAGTCTTTATCTAGAATGATGACGATGATGAGAAGAAGCATGAGGAACAGGCGAGGAAGAAGCTAAAAATTAAGGAATGATCAAAGGTAAGTTACCCTTACTATTTCTACCTGTAAACTTCAACGACTAAATACATCCACTACGTCCAACTCTCTTTCTTTTTCCTTTTCTTTGTTCCCTTCTCGATTTCTCAAATTCTACCTTAAATCTAACTGCACTCCCCTTCTCCTGCGTTCATCTGCACTAGACTTCAATGTATGCTTACAGATGAGAAAAAAAACTCTTCAGCAGGCAGATAAAATAGGGCTATAAATGCTAATATATAACAATGAAATCAGAACGTCTTTTCCATACTACTCATGATATCATTTAGTTATAGAGTACTTCCCCACAAAATAACAAGTGCATACTTTGTTTTAAGAGAACATTTCTTTAACATGGAACAAATGGTTGGACATAGTTACCTGATACTGATTGTACTTTTTTTTTATTTTCCATGATCAAACTTCTCATGAGCAGTATCCTGATTCTCCAGCAAAGTTTCTATTTCTCTTTGACAAAAAACAATGAGCAGTTTACCTGTATTGTCAAACAAATAGGAAAAAAAAAAGATTAACCTTTCCCTATTTCTAAGAGTCTGATTTGTATTTTTACCATGTCAGGGAGATCCCTGCTATGTCAAAGTTCTATAAATTGAAGATTTTCATATGGCTTGTAGACAAATAAAAATCTGTCCAGTGTCTTAGAGATCTCATATTTTGGTTAACTGCTACATTTTACTAATAACTTATGATCATATATTCATGTTAATTTGGATTAAACTTCCATCTGCTAATATTCTACGGATATCATGTTTCTCCCTACACCTGGATCCCACTGATTTATTTCGAGATATTCCCTGATTCAAAAATAGGTAACATAGAAACACGGATATCAAATTAGATGTTTAATGCAACACACAAAATAGTATATTTTAAATGAAAATATTAGTTTACTAACCATACATATATATGGTTCCTTATTTTTCTTCTTTGTGGCAGGGCCATAAAACAAACCAAACGGAGGGATATTTTGGTGTACAGGGCACAACAATGTGGACTGCTGCTTTTGCTTACAGTTGTGGATACAACTTTTGTTACCTGACGCTCTTACTATGTAACTTTTGGTCGAAAACACAGCTTTCGACAGCCTAGAAAATTTTTGGGCAACATGGAAAAACATAGATGATGCGATGACAGGTTATAAGATATCTACCTTTTGAGGAGAAAGATTATGTTCACTGCCTCTGCTAAGGTGTACTATATTAGTTTCTGTAATGCCAAGGTTGTAAGCAGTATGCTCTGTTGACAATTTCAAACCGCCCACAATGTTGCCATAGTTATTCAGTTATGGAACTATGCCTTACCTGCTAAATTACCATCCTGGTTGCTGATTATTACCAATCTCCAATGATACTTGTTTGTGTATCTGAACATTACCTCCTTGGCAACCAACAATGGCTATCTTCCTGCCGCTACTCCTTGCGCTGCATAGAAGAGGACGACCTGTAGCTGATGCTTGTTGGATGGATAAGAGATAGATGAACTACTGCTCTGCAGAGCAGCTCTCTCAACGCAACATGATCCTTCACCTTCAATAGATGCTCTCACTTTGGGATAATTTGATCCAAGAAATTTCATTACTAGGAACAAACATGTATTACTGGAAATAAATACTTATCCTACTACAATCAGACAAAACAACTCATACGGAAAAAGGGTACATCAACGCTGCAAACAGCCCACACACTGGCCAGCATTTCTAGTGATGTACTAGACCTACAACCACGACTATGCACCACTGGAGAGTAGAAAAACTGAATCTGGGTTGATGGAACAAAAATTTGTGATCTCTAATTTTCCCTTGTTACTTGAGGCAGCCCGCTCATTGGCTAGGCGCTATTGTTTTTGAATGGTGGGAGCTCACGCAAGTCCGCAGCCACGATCCTTGGCCCGGTAACCATGTATAAATTCCAGCCCAATGGTAGTTAGGAGGTGGCCCATTTATGAAGCTGCTTCCCCTAAAATAAATAAATTAAAAAAAAAAGGAAGCTGCTGTGAAACAAAGGCCACGCAGAGATTGCAACGCGGTTTCGCCGTCGTCGACAGAACAAGGAAAAAAAAACTCCCTCGCTCCTGTTGGACACATTATTTTTTTTCCTTATATAAGTGAAAAATAACCCATATCCATATTATTTTTATTGCTGAAGGCGGAGTGCATGCACGTTGCCTGTCGGCAAGTCCTGATCAATGGCGGTAACAGTTGATTTAAAGCTGCGGGTACGAAAAGTCTATATAGTCGGTTCAAGAAAGCTACTCCATGTCGGTTCGAAAAGTCTATATAAGTCCCAGGTTTCAGCAGCTACCGGGTTCCCGCTTCTCGCTCGCTCGCTCGCTCGGGAGGTCCATCAAACGCGTCGACGGAACGTCAGTATTCCGGCCTGACGGTCATAGGCTGCACCGTTCTGGCCATAAACTCGGGTCTCGCCATCTACAACTCCAGGGGCGCCGACGACCCGGCGTCCGTCGCGTTCGTGCTGCTCGCGGACGCCGCGCTCCTGCTGCTCTTCCTCTGCCTCGTCAGGTTGGAGCGTGCCAGGGCAGGAACAAGCAGGGGCAGGCTCAAGGCCGCCGTGTGGGCTCTCACGACGCTGCTCACGGCAATGCCACCGGTCGTAGCCATTGTGGTGTGGCTCATGGCCGCGGCCACGACCGCCGGCGGGTTCTGGGCGTTCTTCTTGAATTAATCTGTATTTTTCCTGCTGCCGGGTTGCTCCCTTATGGTTTAGAACTGTACATTTGATCTGCTGTGCGCAAGATACTGTACGTATTAATGGCATTGCATCATTGTGACAATCTATTTTTTTGTGTAAAAAATGGTTTATCATTTGTATTTATACAGTATCATCTATATATCAGTGTCCAATGCAACCAAATTATTAAGACATGAGATACAGCGTGGTGAATAGAACACCACGTCAGAAGCTTCGGCTGGACGTTATTACAGTAACAATGAATGCTCTATATTTAACAAGCATAAACCTAAATAAAATCTATAACTAAATTATACATGATCCAATGTGTATGAAATTTTTACTACAGTTTAAGCATATAATAATTAGTCCACTATAAAAATTTCACCATAATTGAACCATAGAAACTGCAGCTATGAATTATTTCATTTAATTACAGAAAATCATAGATCTAAAGCCACAGCAAAAACTTTGTACTAAAGCATACCATATTATATATTCACTGTGTAGATCTACTTATGCGGAGTCCAAGAAAATTGGATTTTCCATTTTATAATTTTTCTGTGATTTACTGTGATTTTTCAAAGATTCAGCCGAAATAAATAAAAAAGAAAAAGACAAAACCGTCTTTAAAACCGCTTATAACAGGGCCAGGGAGGTAAGATGAACGGTTTTAAAAGTTGAGGGAGGCGTTTTGTCCGGTTTTAGAGTTTGAGAAGGAAAAACGGACTTTCGCGAAAATTGTGGGAGGTAATATGGACTTTTTACCATCGAGCTGGACCCAATAGGACTCAAAGCGGAAGCCTTTGTATCTGTGCTGTAAAGGTGTGCAAGTTAGAAGTAGTGGGCAGTGGTCTGACATGCTGGAAGAGATGTAAGTAGCTGTTTGTATGCTGCATCTCCCATTCGCGTGTGCAGAGGAGATGGTTAATTCTTGTCAAATGTTGGGTTTGGTGTTTCACTTGACCATGTGAACCTGCGTCCATGAAGTTTTATCTCCTTCAAATCCAATTCATCCAGAGTCGCTTTGAACCTGCCCATCATTCGCCGGTTTACTCTATGGTTGTTTTTGTCTGCTGCCCTTAAAACTGGGTTGAAATCTCCCATGATTATCCACTGTGGTAACAAGCTCTGTCTTATATTCTTGATCTCTGCTAAGAACTGCAGTTTCTCGCTGTCTTCTTGCGGTCCATACACCCCCGTTAAACTCCAAGTTGAGTCATCTGTTCTGCAATTTACTGTACCCGATACTGACTCTAGCTCTAGAGAAACAGTGACACACCCGTATGGCTTCAGCGTACGCGTCCCAAACGCACCAATTGCGCGCGCCTCAGCCGGGTCTAAGCTGCTGGTGTGCCAGGATTGAGGCACACACATTACCGAGTTGCGTGGATCGGGTCGCCTGTCGGTGATGCTGTCAGCACGCAGGCAGCTGGCCCCTTCGAGTAGGTCGATGGTCGTCGCGGCGTGATCGGCACAGAGCGTCGATCACATCGGTGACAAAGCACGGATCGGAGGAAGAGGACTGTATGTCGATGGATACGTGTTGATTTCAGCAACTAGCCAACTAGTGCTGGCCCATGTTACTTCTTCGTTGCCAGACTGCCAGTTTGACACTCATTAGGCAATCCACAACGTGCAGTGGTGCTTCAAAAAATTGGAAATCACGTCACGGAATAGGCATCGATGCTCAGAACCAACGCCAACCTCATGGGGCCCACGCCAAATAAAGTAGCAAGCCGTCCAAAGCAGGAAGAAAAAATCTCCTTTCACCTTTCCTTCACAGATGAAGAAAATCTTCAATTTCATGGACTGAGTGGAAGGTGTTCGACAGAGTGCCTCAACGGGAATGCGACCCGAACTCTGCGTCGTCGCGGCCCAACGGCTGGTGCGGAGGGCGCGACCTCGACCGACCAGCGCCCACATCGGCACCACGCTCCCCGGCGATCGATAGCCCTACATCCTGGACGGCTGGGGAACATCGATTCGAGTGATTGCCCTGGTATGCGCTTTCAAACGTTCATTCTTGAAAACTACCATTGCCCAGTTGTTTGGCCTTTGATTCCCGCTATGCTTCATTCCACCATCTGGATTTCCCACACCAACGGGGATGCTCCCGCTAGTACCTCTATGGTGGCCAGTGGCCTTAACTACCACTTCTGCTCTCCCTCGGAGTTCTTCTCCGTCACCGCTGATCTCCCCTTCACCTTTGCTTCTTCTGTCGCGGCTGATGTGATCAAGAATCATCTCATCAGAATTGGGGTTTTTGCTATCCATGGGATCATCTTTCGTATCCACGGTGACCGTCAGGCGGCGGTGAATGACGTCATCTCAACTACGGCGATCAGGCGGTCGGGCCAAATTTCAAATTTTGAATCCTCTGTGGGCCCCCAGGCCCACCAGCGGCAGCATCCGTCTGCCCAGCCCAGCAACTTGCCTGACCCCTCTACTGCGTCCCAGCTGGACGGCGGCGTGTCCTCTCTACGGCGATCACTGCAATCCGGGCATGAACAGTGCGGTCAAAAGCACCTTTTGTGCTCCCCCTCTTAATGGACCACCCGCCTCTCACACCACCTCTACTGCTGCCTCTGATTTACCTCTATCTTCTCTGACGAACGATGGTGACATGCAAGCTTACTCACCCTGCATTACCCTCTCTGGATATCAATCCGGTCGACACCTCATCGGTCCATCTCAGGGGACGGAGACACGTACCAAGTCTACCGGAGAATACGCTGCTCCTTATACCAATGGAGGCCTATACCCTATACACAGGCAGCCTAAGTTGTTCCTGAAGGGTGCTGGAAAAACTCTGTCGAGAAAATGCTTCAGATGTCTCGCTTCCGATCACCTCGTCTCTGCTTGCCGTGACCCTATAAAATGCGTCCGGTGTCATCGGTCTGGTCATAAGAGTTACCATTGCAAATCAGTCACCACCAATAACATGTCCAGCCGTTCGAGCGACTCTTCCGGCTCCTCTCCTCGTACTCGCTCCCCCACGACCTCGGCTTTGCTCCGCGCCACCGCAAACATCTTGCATTCTCACATGGCTAACCCCGCTCGCCACGCTGTCGGCACCACTCCGACCCCGCCACCCACCACCAATCCACCAGTTCCACCTCCCACACCGGGTGCGGGGTCCTCCACCTCGGTCCCTGCCAGGCGCACGTGAGCAACGGCGAGTATGAGGCCTCCCGGGTCTTCGCCTACGTCTACATCGCCGAGGCCGTGCACAGCCCGCACCTGTTCATCAGGCGCGCCATGGAGCAAGTGTGCGGGGCGCCGTCGTTCAGCCTCGCTGCCTCCGCGCGGGGCATCGGGATCATGGTGTTTGGCAGCCATGAGGAGCGCGAGCAAGTCGTCGCCATGTCCCCCGTCAACTTCGAGGACAACACCATCTCCATCGAGCGCCATGAGGAGGCAGGCAACCGCTTCTACGCCTTCTACAATGTCTAGGCCGAGATCGCCGCTGTTGACTTCCCCCTTGAGCACTGGAAGGAGCCCTATGCCAGGGAAGCGCTTGGAGCAATCGGTAACGTGTGTTGCATCAATCCTGATTGTTTGCTCCAAGTTGATTTCACTTCTATGCGTGCTGTTCTCCGTCTTGATCATGATCGCGAGGTGCCTGAGCAGCTCCTGGTGCGCAACCACGGTGGCCCTGCCACTCTTGCTACCATCTACACCATCCGTACCTGGCTCGATGCCAATCCTGTGCCAGACTTCTCCAACTACACATTCAGTCCAACTCCTACACTCCACACCCCATCATCCTACCACCCTGCTGGCAACCCCCCCACTCAGATGCCTGCAGCACCAGAAAATCTTGTTGCCACTGTCCTAGAATAATGGGAAGTCCCCACGGCTTCTCCCAATCTTCGTCCAGTCAACACCAGGCACCCCATATCCCGCTAACACCTCTGCGCCGGCAGCTTCCAACAATCACACTGTGTCCACAATGCTCGCTCTTCCCTGGTATGGCATTGGTGGTGTGCCTGCCATTGAGAATGAAGAGGTCGAGGATCCTAACCCCTCTGATATCACTCTGGAAGAAGATGCTGCCACTGCTCTTGCCAGGCTCAACATGGACGCTCCACCAGCCATCACTGCTGGTGGAAGCACTGAGGAGGAACACGTCAGCCGGGCTCAGAAGCGGCGTGCCAGGCGCAAGAGGGCCAAGGACAGCGCCCACAAGCTCCGCAGGAGCTCCAGGCTGATGGCAAAGGAGGAGCCTGGCTATGAGCCCCCAGAAGAGAAGGCAGCTCGTGTGCAGCAGGCCAAGTTCGACTTCACTGGTGCGTCACGTCGCCTGCGCGATGCCATTTCTCGTTCCTATGTCATCTCTGATTCTTACTATCCTTCTGACGACGACGATTCTCTATCTGAAATTGTAGCTGCCTGCGGCGCGAGCAAGGAGGAGATCGCTGGCATCTCTGGTGCGACGGCTTCGCCGTCGACTGGTCCGTGATGAGTAGAATCCAGCAAGCAAGTCGTGGTGGTGTCACTGATCGTCGATGGGCGTCCGTGAAGCCCAATTTTGGTCTGTGGACGAGTGGCACCAAGTTTCCTACCACCATGCCCCGCGTCATCGAGCTTCCAAGTACTACTTGTAGTGTGCCAATGCCTTGTATCCTGAACCCAGGCGCTAGCCTGTGGAATAATGTAAAGTCGACTAGTGCTCCTAAGCACAGCCCCATGTATGGTGTTGGACAAATGTTTAATGAATAGAAGCTTCATGGTTTGCAGTTGGAATGTTAGAGGGCTGGGGGATGTTGTCAAGTGTGGAGATATTCTTGCTGAGCTTCTTGCTTCTAATCCTAATCTGCTCCTGCTCCAGGAAACTAAGCTCTCTAACATTTCCAAACGTAAGATGTACTCCTTTCTTCCCCGTCGTCTCAATTCTACGATTTTCTCTGCTGCTGACGGCTCCTCAGGTGGCATGCTTATTGCCTGGTCCGACTCCCTATTCAATATCCTTGGCTCCTCCTCCACCCCTAATACTCACTACGTCAAATATGATTTCCAGGGGCGGCTACAGTGCATTTGTAGGGGCGGTTCGGCCAGCCGCTCCTACCATACCGTCTCTACAAATCATGCATTTGTAGAGGCGGTTCCCAGACCGCCCCTACAAATCGATTTGTAGAGGCGGCTGGTGTTACCAGCCGCTCCTACAAATCGATTTGTAGGGGCGGTTGGTACTGTAGCCGCCCCTACAAATCGATTTATAGGGGCGGTCTGGAAACACCAGCCGCCCCTACAAATCATTTTTCCGCCAAAAAAAATTAAATTTACAATTCACGTTGTTCTCCATACAATAGGCTTTAGAGTCAGAATCAGAATAAGTAAAGCAAGAACATATAAAGAAACATAAATGTAAGTAAATCAGTTACTTAGTCAACAACATCTTATACATAGACAGTTAGACACAATAAACTGAAATGGCCCACCCAACAAATACATCATAAGGCTTCCCACAATCAAGTGTCTCTAGCTTAGCTAGCTCAGGTTTCCTCTCAATTACCTCGAATAAAAAGACATTTTACATGCAATGATGATTGATGAGCTAAACTGTGTGGCAGTTGGGCAATAAAAGAAGAGTGACCCTTTTCTTAAGGACTACAAATTAGTATTACAAACATGGCAATAGTGCTACTCCCTCTGTTTCGAGACATAGCATATATCTAGATGCATAGATACATAGTTTTACTATGAAGTCGGCCATCCTAATTGACACATAGCAATACTAGATCACAAAATATTCCTTAGACATAGACTCATTAGTCAAGTAAGATTAAGTCTCACTGCCTTCACCATCGAGGATACAACACTAGATCACAAATTAGCATGCACAAGGAAACTTAGTGCAACATCCATTCAGAATATGGACAATTCTTCCATGTCGCATTAATCAATGCAATTCTTCTTCAAGAAAAATATTTCAGATCGCCATGTTAGCATTATCAAGTGGGGTCTGCTTTTGTAAATTAGCTTGTTGAAATCCAAGTGCTTTGGAAAAATAGTAGTCTGCAGTCAGTAACTACACAAGAATCGAAGTTTATTTATGAATACTTAACCATATATAAAATTGGGTCAATTCCAGGACTTCGAATCAGTAGGACTACTTTGCCAAAAAAACTAGACCGTTCAATCTCACATGAACAAGCATTACTATCAAAATATAGACCTTTCACATGATATATAACAAATATCACGGCTCAATTTGTATGGCAATCGACACGATATCTAAAAAAAATAGTATTTATATAGCCTTGAGTAATTGACAACTTTGCTCAACTCAATAGAACATTTTAAAACGACTATGCAATAAGCACATTGCTTTAAGTAGACATGCATTCTCAATAATTACCTTGGATGATGGCAGTGATCACAAGCCCAAGAAAGTTAAATATCGCACCATAACCATACGTAAAACAAGTTCGAAAAGATGAGATAAAACCATGATCATTAGCTTCACACATATCATAAAAGCATTAGCAAGATAGCTTAGAATAGAATGCCGTGGCAAGACAACTAACCAAATGGACACATACCTGAAGGTAAATATCGGTATCAAACTGGCTTTTAAGAGCCTTTTCATTGTAAACTGAAGCCAATGCGGAACTCATACTGGTTTTGCATAAAGTTGTAAGAAATATCAACTAAATGAGGAAAAAAACACATATTGTCTCTATGTGAAGTCGTTATACTAGTAAATTAGTCCAAGAGTGCTTAGACTATTCTAGTTCTGAATCCTTCAGTTGTGAATATTGTTGTTTTGGAAAGAGATAAATGAACCTAGATCAGTTATATGACTGAATAGAAAATGGCTGGAAGCCTGAAACCTAGAACTGTCAAACAGACGGGCCAATGTGGTAGCGTTAGAATTTAGATAACACATGCAAAGTGACTCAGGAGTGCACATCTATGATGATTCAGCACGTTGAGCACATTCAAAATCACAGTAAGGCATATATTGATCATTCAAGTACATGCTAAGCCGACAGTCCAATACACAATGACAGAAAAACCATCAAATAGTCGAAGTTCAAGAAAGTTATTGCTATACCAACCTTTGCCATACCAAATCAGTTTGGCTTATAAAACCTTGATCAGTTGCTAGGAGATATAGACTTTCGTTGTCTTCGCAGAATAAATATACATAAGAAATAAAGACAACTCCAGTTCAAGTACTCAAACTACGGAAGAAGACACAAAGCTCACTTTCGTTAAGTCCCTCTTGTAAACAGAAGAGACCGCGACAATGAAATTTGACAATGTGATAAATGAGAATACAATTGAGAACATGTATTTAAACCATAGATTATTAGAAATATACCCATAGACAATCACTAGTTAGCGATTGTTCTCGAGAAAATTATCAATCAGCTCCCCTAAAATAAATCAATTTAAGTGTGAAGCCAAATATAGTAATTCTTGCATTGTACAAAGAGATTCACGCATGTACAAAAGTCAATAACAAAAAAAAATCTCACATTGATGTTCTGTGGCCTTGTCATCCACGGAAGGGTTGCTTTCCCCAATCTTGTCACCGCTTTCGAAGAACCACCTCCCCCTCATACACTGGCTCTTGATTTTCATACACCATATTTGTGGTGCCAAGTACGTGCTCTTCACCTTGGTATATTGGTTCACATTCATGAATGCTTGAAGGTAGAGGCTCAGATTTATCTAAAAAATCACTTTTCACATCTAGTTATGTTGTAGCATGACTGGAACAGCTCCACAAGTTGCAACCCATCATAACCAAAAATAACTATCAAAGCAAAGAACTTGTGTTTCATCTAGTTTGATAAGTACTGGACACTTACAAGTAAACAAGCAATCTAAGCACAGATGGGCATAATTGCACGGATTGAGTAAATCAGAAATAATACATCATGTTTTACACTTGATTAGCGGATTAAAGTACATCACCTTAACCTTACAATTCCAGTGATCCAAATTCAAAGATATGAATTCTTTAATTTCATCCCTGTAAGTAATATAGCATCCACTTAAAATGATCAGGTTGGATCAAACTAAATTAAAAAAAACTTCATTTCTCCTAAAAGGAATATCGATCAATCCTTAGTATACTTAGTGAAAGAAATTAGTAGAAGATCTAAGCACAAAATGTAAACATGTGCTTTGGTGAATATCGAGATCAATCCACATCCGTGATAGAGACTACATTATCTCAAGTTGCTATTTGCCACCCCATTTGCTTTGAGGTGCATGCGAGTATATCACAGGAGGTGGACACCTTCACCGGAGATGCGCCATCCACGAGAAGGTCCTCCGCCAACCATTGTGCTCTTGGAGGACCCACAATCAACAAGGTAGCTGTCCAGCAGCGTGAATTGCGCTTTGCGGATGCAAATGGATGACAAGATGCATAGCACGATGAAGGTTGTTACAGCTTGCCACTTCGTCCTCCCCAAAGTAGCCATCATGATGTTGACTGAGTAAAAAGTATGTTCACAATGTTCGGATGCCATGCATGCAAAACTATAATCCCATCTCGAGAAAAAGGGGGAACAAAACAATTGGTGCAAATTGTCAATGCAAAACTATAATCCCATCTCGAGAAAAAGGGGAAACAAAACAATTGGTATGGTCATGAAAGCAACTACGAGTGCAAGAACAAGAACATGCCGAGTTGCTCATCACTTGGGGTCATGGATCTTAAAAATAAATTCGGGACATTAAATTCGAAATGAATCCCCAAAACTTCTCGAAAACAAACCGCGTCGGCAGCTTGGCTAGATCGATCTTGCCTAGCGCCCATGGCGTAAAGCGAAGAAGCTAAAAGAGGTACGGTGGAGAGATTAAGAGCTAGCAACAACGCATCACTCTCCGTAGATTCCGCACTCCGCAAAGAAAACAAATCCAAAGGGAGACAGATTTGGATCTCGATCAAGACCGCCACGGCAAAAGAAATGCCCCAAGAACAACTCGAGCTCCTAGATCGAATCAACCGGAACAAGGAAGCTAGGTTCACTTACCACCAAAGCAGGAGAAGAAACGGATCTGAGTCCCAGGCGCCTAAGAGGATTAGGGTTCCATGGGGAGGCATCTGAGTTAAGTCGTGTGAGAAGGGGATGGGGAGGAGGAGATACTGGATCTACCGGTATGGTTCAAGCAATCAACGATTTACCTCGAGCAAAGAAGCAGATCTGCAGGCAGGCGACAAGACTGGCGGTGGGGTACATGGGTGTGTGAACCGCACTGAAATAGCACACTTACGGAGGCGCTCGTCTTCCACCAGACACTAAGCACCCCGAAAGCAGGCTACAGCGGGCGGTATCCGTCGGGCACACCCCAAGGGAGAACCCGAAAGATCCACATTTTTCCCAAGGATCCAATAATGAGAACGAGTTACAATACTTGTCCATTTCATACATCAGAGTTTCTTAAAAGTACATTATTACAATACCAAATATCAGAGTGCGGAATGATAAACAGCGG